CTGGCTGGGGAATTCTGGGAGTTGAAGTCCACTCATCTTAAAGTGGCCAAGTTTGGACAACACTGTCTTAGACATTAACATCAAGGCAACAACCTCAATGAACTGCGTTTCAATGTCATTTCAGACATAACTGTGCCCCGCCTGTGCCATATCTGTATATTACATTGATTTCTTATTGAGAATGACAGCTTGGATTTCTAGGAGAAACCTCCCCCTCAACAGTTTAAAACTCTTGTTTTAAACCAATGATGGGAAGTAGATTTTTAAAACATAAACTGGATGTGCTGGCTTAATTTCCTTTTTTAAAGGAGCAGTATAGTACCCAAATAGGGATGGGACAATGCAGGCAAGTCTCAGTTCTTAAATAGGATGGCTCCATTTTAGCTCAGTTCAATATAATCTGTACACCCATCTCTAGCATTGTACTAGATACCCTCCCATTATCTGTCCAAGGAAAACAGTCTGAACTTGGAAAGAACTCATAGGTAGCAAAGAAATAACACACAGACAGCGATCCCATAATATTTTTACCCATGGTTTACTCAACTCAATTTGCAATGCTTGTACAACATACTGAATTATAAACAAACTTCATGGGTTGGATCTGCACCACATACAAGGCTGAAATGTGATTGCCTAATTTCTAGTTCTAGTAGTGCAAACAGTTCCACAGTGGAATATTCTGTACTACTGGCTTTTAAAACCTCTCATGGCTGTAAATTTACCAAGGAATCATAGGTCTTGCTCAGCTGATCAGGAACAGAAACTTATTTGTCATTTGCAGCTAATATATTCAGTATTTGTCTATATTGTGGCTTGTTTTCCTTTGGTTTAGCAGCTGGTGTACTTTAAACAAATCATGGTTTGGCATGAAATATGAAACCATTTAAAGGGAGGCCTTGCAGAGAGCCTCTTCTGTCCAAAAGAGAATCTCCTTCCAGGTGTTTCCAATTCCTTGCAGAAGAATTTAGAAAAGTAGGGTAAAGGAGTTAATAGGCAAGGGGAAGTGGTAGGAGAATGATAATGGGGCTTTTTGGAAAACACTTTTTTTTTTAACAGAGGGTGGGACTGAATTCCCAAACGGAATTCGCCTTTTTCTTTTCTTTTTTTTAACCCGGTAGATTTTCTATACAGAAAATGTGGAGCAGATTGACTTTCAAAGCAGAAATCTGTTGCAACAAAATGTTTTCATTGGAGCATGTTGTCATCAGTTTTGGAGCCCTGTGAGTGCTGCCCTGGAAAATCTCCATGCAATGAGGAGGAGTTGCTTAATAATGGTGCTAGACTTTACAGAGGTGGAGGTCCACAAAGAATTAGCTAGAAAGCAGATAATAACCAGGTTCTAAAGAACATGCATTAGACATGGTAGACAATCCTGTAGGCATTTTGCCCTTTCCCTGGCAATAAAACCATTCAATAATGCCACATTAAATCATTAACAATTTACTACCCTTTCCCACAGTTTATACAACTGCTATATTTTGCCAACCAGGAGAGGGACAACAGCTTCAAATAACAGTAACAGTAAAAGAAACCATGAT